AGCGGAGGTCCCTAGGACCATCAAGGGAGAAGAGCAGAGAGCGGGACCCTACCCAGAGAAGCAGTGATGCCTGAAATGGAGCCAGAGATGATGACAGCTGGAGACTCTAGACCCAGAGAGGGAGAGCGACTGTGTGCTGAAGAGGGGCCACGGGGGAAGGATTGCATGGAGGGGATTGTAACCATGGCAATGAGACGATATACGATAGAATGAATGTAAAACTAATGTTCTCTCATGTAAACTTTCACAATAAATCATTTAAAAAAAAAGAATACATACAACCCCTGGGGACCTATGAAAGCTTCTGAAGACTATGTGAATAAACATTTATTTTGTAGTTACAAAACTACTTTTAAAAACAAATACTGGGTTGTTTTTTTAATTGCTGTGATTAATGGTGTAGTTTTATGATTCAATTTCAGAACACCAACAATGGCAGGAGGCCTTTTTTCAATAGACAGAGATTACTTTCAGGAAATTGGAACATATGATGCTGGAATGGATATTTGGGGAGGAGAAAACCTAGAAATTTCCTTTAGGGTAAGTTACTTTTGGGGGAGAAAAAAAAAAATTTTTTTTTTTAATCTCAAGTATAGATGTGTTTTAATTATTCATATTATCTCTAAAAAATAGAAGTTAATTTTATTATGAATTTAATTTGACTTCAAAGCCTTCAGTCCTTAAGAGCCATAAACACAAAAATCATTCCTTTATATAGAAATTATGTGGAAAAATTTGTGTTTATTTTTCTGAGATTATTAATCATTTGCAAATAATTAGCATCTTTAGATCACTGACAGGTTTGGTGATGCTAGTAAGGGTTCATTACAAACTATTTAAGCAAATGATTCCACTTTCTTAAGTAATAATGTAGCTATGAAATTTATGTAAGTTTTCATAATAGTTATTGTTTATTTCTATTGTTTATAAGGAAGTAATCCATTAAACAAAAAATACTACATAATTTGTATAGATGCTTGATATTTAACTGCCAAAAAACAATTTTGTACTCTGATATCCTTTGCTCTACTGGTGTGGAAATTGTTCTTATATAAAGCCTGATTACCAGATTTATATTTCTCAAGGCAAAAGAATCCTGAAATTACTATAAATTAATTTAACATATTCTACTATAGGGGTAAGCACTGGACCGCAAGGTCGGTTTGAACCACAAGGTGGGCGGTTCAGACTCATCATTCGTTCCTCAGAAACCCTCTACTGGGGTCGCTATGACTCAGAACAGACTTAATGGCACTTAACAGCAACAACTTTGCATCTCATTCTCATATTTACTGAAATCAACGTATGACTCTAATGACATTGCTTTTTTTTTTTTTTTTAATAATCAACTTTAGACACAAGAGTTACTATCCTGGAATTCACACTGAACTACACTGTAATCAGAACCTGCTCACTTTCTTCCCTTGAGAATGGCTTTGCCCCTCCTGTAAAAAGAAGGGGTTGGGTTCTAGATCATTTATCTTGGAGATCCTACCCAGCTCTAACACTGTATGATCCTGGGAAATGTTCAGATAAACATTCTGAGTACGTCACAAAAACAGAACTTTTGAAAATGTTTAATCGCAAATGGATTTTTTAAAAACTCTCATCAAAATGTAATTTAAAAGAAGCCAAAGAATAATTTTCATAAAATTAAAGCTGTAAAACCATTCTTGACTTGATTTTGGTTTTCCCCTTTTTCCTTTTTATTGTACTAAGAAAGACAACAAAAGCATGCTGTGAATATCTCATTGAATAATTCATGATGTAGTTTAGGTCCCTGGGTTCTGTTTAATATACAGGATGTGAGACAGGTTTGATGGGGAAGTAAGAATCTGGATGATATCTCTGGTCAAATGTTATTTTTTGTTTTTTACCGTAAATCTTATTAATATATTATGCTTTACACATACACACCTACAAAATTTAAACAGACATTTCATGAAACAATATTTCCTTGTTAGCAAGTGCTGGTTGTAACTCACCAAATTTGAATTTATGATCTTAAAGAGTCATGGTCTCCAGTTGGAAAAGTACTATTTTAAACCTCATATCTTTTCTAAATTTAGCGTTCAGTTTATCTTTTCTGTAACTTTAGCCTTCAACTTTACGATGTTTAAGCAGAACCAAAAATGAGAGAAAGGACTGCTTCCGAGGAAGCACTGAACGCAGTACCCTGTTGCCAGAGCTACATTGCATGTCTGTGATTCTGTGAAATTCACTAAAAGTCAGCATTGTTTTTTAAACCCAGCCATGAACTTCTTACACAGTCTGCTCTGTTGCTGTTTTCAGATCTGGCAGTGTGGAGGTACTTTGGAAATTGTTACCTGCTCACATGTTGGACACGTGTTTCGGAAAGCTACACCTTACACATTTCCAGGAGGCACAGGGCAGATTATCAATAAAAATAACAGGCGACTTGCAGAAGTTTGGATGGATGAATTCAAGAATTTCTTCTATATCATTTCCCCAGGTGAGCTTTATTTTGGATCACAAACACAATACTGTCACTATCATATCCCTGATCCTAATGGAATTCTTAGGGTGGAAAAGAAGCTTGGAGCAAAGGGTGCAAATATGTACCTCATAGAGTCTTTATAGGGAGTGGATGACATCCCACATGGTGTAAAATGTGCTTAGCATAATGCCTGGTATACAGTTTACTACATAACAATGATAATGTATCATCCCAGCCAGTTTACAGAAGTGACTGTTAACCCAAGTATTACTCAAGTACTGTTTTTTTGTTTTGTTTTGTTTTAAAACCTAATTGCAACATTTTACAGTTTTTCTTGTTAAGCTTCATCATGTAAACTTGCAGCCTAGCTTGTGTGAAATTTTCTGTATTCTTGACTTTGTTCTCCACCACAACCACCCACTCTTTTAGAGTTAGTCATGTGCCTTCTCCACAGCAGGTCGTCAGTGCCTTCATCACTCACGGCTTTTATAAAATTGTCAGGTATTGAAAGGCCAGTACAGAGCGCCACGACATGCTTCAAGGAAGCATTTGTTTTGCTTAATACCTGGTTGGTTTGAGCAAAAGAGTTCCTGATTTATTTTATTTTTTCCTTAATATATATTAAAGGGGAGCGCAGTGGCTCTGTAGGATAATCACTGGACTGCAAACCACAGGGTTGGCAGTTCGAGTCCATCAGCTGCCCCGTAAGAAAAAGATGAGACTTTCTGCTTTGTCAAAGGTTTACAGCCTCAAAAACTATACTTATATGGGGTCACTAGGACTCAGAACTGACTTGACAGCACTTACCAACATATATACTTAAGTGTTCTGATTCAGCTTCTATCTGTATACAGTATTACTACCATGCATTTTATTCTCAAGTAAATAAAAATTTTCTTTGGTGAAAAAAGAGTAAATGTTTATGTTTTTGCCTTGTATACTTGGGGGAGATAGTTTCATAGCATTTGCATTTCAAAAGAGTCCATGTTTCCCATTCCTGCGGCTTATTACATAAAGTGTCTTAAGTAGAATTATGTCATCTCCTAGAACACTAATAACTCACGGTCAGTTATTTCTCTCAACAGGTGTTACAAAGGTAGATTATGGAGATATCTCATCGAGACTTGGCCTAAGGCACAAACTACAATGCAAACCTTTCTCTTGGTACCTAGAGAATATTTATCCTGATTCTCAAATTCCACGTCATTATTTCTCTTTGGGAGAGGTAAAAATATAAATACATTTCCTATGTAGTAGTTATTTTCTCATTTCTCTATCAAAAATAATACATGTTAAACTTCCAAGAAGAAAATTCCCTTATATTAAAATTGCATAACTTTAAGCATGGAAAAATTCTTGTTAGTTGACAGTCTACCTCCTAACTTGAAATTTCTGTAACTTTTATAATTATTTGTATTTTAAAATAGGAATGCTCTAACCCTAACCTTTCACAGGTAGACCTTTGCCACAATAAATTACAAACTGACTCCCTTAGAGTCACTATAGAGTATAGAGACTGTATCCTATTAAAGCTAACGTTCTGATGTTACTGCCTGTCAGAGCATTAGGACCTTATAATGTGAAAGTAAATTAGAAAGAGCTAGCAAGGAAACTTGAAAGACGATTCATAATAAAATCGTGCTGTCAGGACCCCTCCACAAGGAGTCCTGGTGTGGCACTGTGGGTTAATTCGCTAGAGTGCAAAGTCAGTTGAACCACAAGGTTGGCAGTTCAAGCTCACCAGCTGTTCCTTGGAAACTCTATGCAGGGTCGCTATGGGTCAGAACTGACTCATTGGCACTTCACAACAGCAGGGTCCCTATCTAATCTTTCAAGGTGCTATTGTCAATTTGCTCCCATAGAGATAGGGGACAGGGGGTCTGGGGAGGTCCAAATGTCAGTTTAAACAGGAAAGTTGGAGAGAGCGTTGGTGAGCCTATTTATTTCTGGTGATGCCTTTAGAGAAAAACTGGGTGGGACCTGGTTACCACTACCAATTGCTCTGAAAACAATCATGTTTGAAGGCTATGGATAGAGTGGGAGAAAACTATGGAACAAAACTCATAATTAAAAAAAATAATAATAAAAGGCCAGGCTTATTGGTTATGTGTAACTGGTGGAACCCCAAGCTGTGGCCCTTGGTCACACCTTCAGGTCTGGAAATGAAACCACCCCCCCTCCCGTGTGGCTCAGTTTTCAGCCAAACAATACACAGGCCTATAGCTGAAACAATAATACACAGGTGTGTGTTACTGAGCTCAAAGGGGCAGCATTTACCCATGGACAAAGTCCATAAGGGTTAGGAAAGGAGCAGGAATGGAAATGGGAAACACAGGGAGGAAGTGGGATAAGTGATATTTCATTGTCAGGCTTGTGATCAATGACATGAAACAAAATTGATATGAGTTGTTGAATAGAAAACGGATTTGCTCTATAAACCTTCACCCAATTCACTGTAGAAAGTTAAAAAAAGAAGAAAAGAAAGGCCCTGGAGGGGTGATGTGCTGTGGGAATAAACAGCAGTTTCTCCTGTAATTTAATTTTAGAATGGAGAATAAGGAGCACTTGTTTTTTCTTTTAAACTAACCCAATTCTGGATAACACCTAGACATTGTTGACTGGCCAGAGCATAGGCATATTACAAAGAAACATTTGTTTAACACACAGTGGATGGTTACCAAGGCAAACTTTCCTCGTACCCTGCCCCTTGCCAACTGGCTTCCTTTTTAAGGGGTAGGTTTACCCTGTGTGGCCTGCTGGTTATTGCCCTATCAGCTACGCAGCTGGTCTTACACCTGCTATGCTCTTAATACCAGACCACACTAACCACACTGATTTGGGGGCTGGGGTCATTCCCAAGTTCCCGTCACAGTGCAGCCAGAAATCTTACGCTGTGACTGTCACTCCACTCTTGGGAACCTGCCTTAGCCAGAGACTGGAGAATAGCCATTCAGAAATCTCTTGTCATAATTCAACAGCCTAAAGGAACCTGAGATGATAGGAGTATATAAATGTTAGTAGAGTAAGAGCTATCACTTAAGAGTGTCTGGCGTCAACTAAATTTGACTCCCAAAGCTCCTGTAGGATCTGTAACTAAGTAAATATGTTTCATTGTGATACCTAATAGTTATGAATCTGACAATTGAAGACTCTTAGCAACAGCAAAAAAAGCAGAGACTCCAGACTTTGATTGTTTGGTCAATATTATGGGCTGAACAGTTGTTTTTCCAGGTAGATCTAACAATCCTACAATTTACTGAGTGTGTGCTCTTTGTCAAGCACCAACTTAGCATTTTATGCATATTCATGCATTTTGTCTTCACATCACCAGTATGAAACGAATGTTGTTATCCCCACTTCCACAGATAGGTCCACTGAAGCCCACGCACAGATTTTAACAACATGGCTAAGGTCACAGCAACCAAATGGAAGAGACAGGTTTTCAGTACAGGCAATTCTGGCCCTTGTTTTGTGCCCGTAACTACCAACACCCAGATTCTTTTTCAGATTGAAGCAGTATTTCCCTTATGAGGATTTTGTACCCCAAAATATTTGGGAAATGCTGCTTTTTATAATCTTACATTTTCTGTACCATCATTTTCTACTCCTACTGAGACTTTCAGGGCTGGCATTGTTCTGGGACCGCACACTGTGACAGTGGCTTGGGAATTACCCCAGCCCTACAATTAGATCTTTAGGCTGGAATCACATGGCCTGGGACTGGGTCATAGATTATTAGAAGGCTCTGAGAACTTCTTTAGTAAAGAAACCTATTTAGATTTGTTTAAACCAGTACTTCCTAAACACATTTGATCACAAAACCCCTTTTCTGATGGTACATTTGTTTTTTATTAACAATGAATGACTTATTTATTTGGTTTTAACTTTACTAACACATTTTTGCTCAAAATTAGTTACGTCTTCTGTCTCCATGACATGACAAATGTCTGTCATATATCTCTTGGCTTTTTTGTTAAGCCAAGTATCATCCAGTGGAATAGATTTAGAACTTTAAAAATGTTTATTATTAAACTGCAGCGGTTCTGAAGAAACAAAACGTCAAAAGCACTGCCTAAAATATTCTTCCGGGCTGATGACTGATTTAAATTCCTTTCCTCTAACTGACAAATATTTAACAAAAGAGTTGTGCTTGCCCCACACCGCGCAGAGGCTTCCAGTTAAGCCAGTACCAGGCTTTTTGACTAGAAAATCCCCACCTTAAGTTTCTTAAGAAGTCTTCATCAAAGTAGTTCTCAAAAGCAGTCCCCTTTAGCCTAGTTATTAATAGTGTCCTCAGAGTTATGAAATGACTTTAAATCTGATAAAATAGAGTTTATTGAACTGAATACAAATCTTAGAAGTACAGCTTGGCAAAAATAAAGAAATAAGAATTTCAAGGATGTTTCCCTTGAAGCACAAAAATTATGTAAACAGTAAGACCTATACCAAAGAATTTTAGATAACCAGACAGTAATATTTTTTTTCCAGCCTAGACTCTCCGCTCCATACAGAGAGTCGGAACCGACTCCATAATACACACCAACAGTAACAATATGTGCCATACCTGGGAATTCAAGGTTTTGTTTGTAGTGTTGTTGTTACGTGCTGTCAAGTCAATTGTGACCCATAGCGACCCTGTATAGGGTTTCTAAGAACTCACCTTGTGGTTCAAACCGACATTGAAGTCCAGTGCATTAACCCACAGCCCTGGACTTCAGGACTCCTTGTTTGTTTATGGTAGTACCAGGGAACGTGGACTGATGTGTGTGTTTGTGTGTGTGTCTCTACTTGTGTTAACTCCGGATATTTTCTTTTTGTTTGTTGTCCATAGATAAGAAATGTGCAAACAAATCAGTGTCTGGACAACATGGCTAGAAAGGAAAATGAGAAAGTTGGGATTTTTAACTGTCATGGAATGGGAGGTAACCAAGTGAGTATCTTAGTAGAGCTTTCAGAGAATTTTCAGATTTCTTTTTTCCCTTCTGCCTTTTTTATTCCCACAACACCATTTATGAAGTAGTTTCCTACCTTTAAAAATAAAAGAATGAAGACTGTGACATGAAGGGAAAATTCAATCTAATTACTATTTCTAAAAGACATACTTGTAAAAGGCCTGTTTACACTGCTGAGCTTGAGACTTGCTTTCCTCATGGTAACCCTTCACAGTCTGCTAAGTGTATGCGTAGCACTCAAGGCCACTTTTGCTTTCCTCTTTGTTTTTCTGCGTCATTTTATTCAAAGAATAAAAGTGTATTAAAGTTTTATTTCTCTGTTAGTTTAATAAAGTAATAAACCATGTATCTTGAAATACACTTCTTGTTGCTGTTAAGTGCCATTAAGTTGGTTCCAACTATAGCAACCCTGTATAGGGTTTCCATGGAGCAGCTGGTGGATTTGAGCCACCAACCTTGTGGTTCACAGTCCAGTGCTTACCCTACAGTGCCACATCAGGAGTCCATGAAATACACTTATTCCTCACTGATTGACTATCCTTCTGTTTGACATTTTGCATTTACAATAGTGAAAAATCCACTCTCCAACTATTTGGTGCATTAACAAGGTACCTCTGGTGATAAGGAACACCAAGATGTGAGGCAAGAGGGGCGCTGGCTGAGATGGCTAAGGTTACGTGTCAACTTGGCTGAGCCACGGTTTTCAGTGGTTTGGCAGTTATGTAGTGATATATTTTGACAGTTTCATAATGATGTAGATCACTGGTGGCACTGTAGGCTAAGCACTGGGATGCTAACCACAAGGTCGGCAGTTCAAACTCATCAGCTGCTTTGCAGGAGAAAGATGAGGCTTTCTGCTCCCATAAAGACATGCAGCCTCGGAGATCCTGTACAAAGCCACTGTGAACTGGAATCAAGTGGATGGCACTTAACAACAATAACATCATGATATCATCTTGTGTGGTCACTCTCCATTTTTGCATAAAGCAATTTTTGCATAACAGTCTGGGCTTTGGAACCTAATTGTGTTGGTAAGTGAGAAGTGGGTGTATTTGCATTTTCTATTATAAATTATTAAGCGTGTTAAACACATTTTACTTAAATGGATGCATTTTTGTTTTTAGGTTTTCTCTTATACTGCCAACAAAGAAATTAGAACAGATGACCTTTGTTTGGATGTTTCCAAACTTAATGGCCCAGTCACAATGCTCAAATGCCACCATCTAAAAGGCAACCAACTCTGGGAGTATGACCCAGTGGTAAGTTACCTCAAGGGGGAAAATGTTATCATTTGGGTATGCTTATAATTTTATAGCTAAAGGAATTAATTCTTGAGGCATTTGAATGTGAGTATTCCTATACTCTAAAAATCAATAGATGGGAAATATATTGTAATAAAATCAACATGTTTTATTCTCCCCCAGTCACTAAACTGGTGGTGGTGGTGTGCCGTGGAGTCGGTTCCAACTCATAGCTGCACAGGGTTTCCGAGGATGTAAATCTTTACAGGAGCAGAATGCCTCATCGTTGTCCCACATAATGACTGGTAGATTGTAACTACTGACCTTGCAGCCCATCTCATAGTCCATTATGCTTCCAGAGTGCCTTTAATGTCTCTAGGATCAGCACTGGACTGCTAACCACAGGTTGGTGGTTCAAACCCACCAGCCACTCCTTGGAAACCCTATACAGGATTTCTGTGTATCAAAACTGACTCAACAACGCTTACAACAACAATAAATATACTACTGTTAAGCAGATGATTTACAAAACATTCTTGTAGCCCTTGGCTATAGAAGCCTTACTCCTTAGGCTCTTGTCTTACTTTATTAAGAGAAGTTCCTTTGTCTGCTTGGCTCACTCTGCTTCCTCAGCTACATCTTAAGTAGAAGTGGTGTCCAAAGTGCTGACGATGCTGTATACAACTCTAGTCTGCTCCACTGACCCGAAACAGCTTGCACTTTTCCACTTCACATCTAAGACCATGCGTCTCCTTCTGCCTAACAAATCCTACCCATTCTGGAGGGCCCAGCTTTGAATCATGAATCCTAGCCAGAACTGAGCTCTCTCTGTCCTGACTTCATTATAGTACTCTTTGGCCCCTATGGTGTTTGTGCTTTATTGTAGTTGTTGTTTTAAATGCTGCCGAGTCAGTTCCAACTCATAGCAACATTGCATAGGGTTTCCAAGAATCGGCTGGTGGCTTTGAAACGTTTCAAAGCAACTTTGCAATCCAGTGCTTATCCTACAGTGCCATACCAGGCCTCCCTCATTGTAGTTATTTATCTATAACTGTAAACCATTAAAGAGGACGGAGATCATAGTTTATAGGTTCTGGGTGTCCCTTTCCAATGTCATACTGTCCCCTTACTGTCAAGTCTGTTTGGCCTTAGAGCAGCCCTGTTAGGCAGAGAGTAGCATTGCCCACATGCTGTCTCTAAGACTGTAATCTTTACAGAAAATCCGACTCCGGTATCTCCATAAAGCCACTGATGGGTTCAAACCGCCAACCTTTCTGGTTAACAGCCAAGCTCTTTAACCACTGTGCCACCAAGGCTCCTCTATCAAACTAAAGTAAAAACAATGTGAGATATATAATTAATATTAGATATAGTAATGGTTTTGTTAACCATGGCCATTAGAAATCGTCTGTATAGTCTATTCCTGGGTTTCCCATGGTAGATGTGATTTCCATTTTGGGTATGACAGTTCCATACATTGCAGGAAGTACAGTGTTTGGCTCCAAACAGTAAACACTAGTAGTAAGCAGAATCATTGTGACAATGCAAAAAAAAAAAAAAAAAAAGATTAAAAAGTCTCTAACACTTAGTTCAATGCTTTTTTTAAATGTAATTAAATCTGGAACTAAGTGGTTTTTGATGGGGATTCAGTAGTACAGTGATGTCATCTCTGATATTCTGTTGGCTCTTGCATGTCACCACAATGTGGTTGCTGCAGCTCTTACCATCACATCCCAGTTCACGGCAGGAAGGGGAAGGAGGAATGTTGCACAATCATTTGTACTGCTCTGTATCAGGAAAGCTGAGCTTTTCTGAGTGCCCCCTCAAACTCTGTTTATGTTTCCTGGGACAGAACTTTATTCCATAGGAACACCAGGTGCAAGAGAGGCTGGGAAAGCAAGCATTGGGTTTTCAGTCCGTGTGGTGTGAGGTGCCAAGGAGAAGAGTGGGGATGGCTGTTGGGTAGCCATCTGACAGACTCCACCATAACAAGTATTCCAAAAGCAAATGTTTGATGAGGAATGCAAGAGGCTTGTTGTTGTTGCTAAGTGCCTTTGAATTGATCCCGACCCATAGCGACCCTGTGTAGGTTTTCCAAGGAGTGACTGGTGAACTTGAACCACTGACCTTGCGATTCAAACGACTTTGCAGTCCAGCGCATTAACCCACAGGAGCACTGGAGATGGGTTATTTAGAAAGAATTTGTTATGAGTATGAAGTGTTAGAACCCCTGGATCACTTTGCTAGGTCAGTACTTTGATTAGAAACCAAATCTTTTTCTTTTATTTTCCTCCCCTGAGATGAAACTTCAGTGTCACAGTGAAGTCTGACAGAATTTCAAATTCTCATGAACTCTAGACTTCCTGGAGCCGTGGGAGCTGCATGGAGCCATAAAACTATTGCCCTGAGATAATCTTTAAACTTTAAACCAAAAATATCCCCTGAAGTCATCTTAAAACCAAATGGTAGTTTAGCCTAACTAGGGGGGGAAAAAAAAAAGCTTGCCTTGAGCATTATGCATTTTTTGTATAGGATCAAATTTGACAACAGCAAGGGGAAAGATTAGATAGGCACCTCAGGGACAGTTCATTTCTGTAATGGGGAAGGACAGTTAAGAAAAGGAAGGCAAGAATGATGGCACAACTCAAAAATGTCCTCAGTGTCACTGAATTGTGCCTGTAGAAACAGTTGGATTGGTATGTTTTGCTGCATATATTCTCAACTCCAACAGCAGAATACAATGTAAAAGAAATGAGAGTGAGGTCCCAGGAAATCTGGATGGGGCACTGTACATACCAGGCACAGGAGTTGTTGTTGTAGTTATGCTACTTTTGTAAAAGCAAACAAATAAATCCTGTGCTGCAATGTAGAAAGAAAGAGTGTAACTAACGCCACTTAACCATATGTATAGAAACTGTTGAATGGGATCCTGTTTCAGCTGTATGCCCTTTCACCAGAAATATAATAAAATATTAAGTGGGGAGAAAAAAAAGGGCAGCCAAATTTGAGATAGAGTTTAGCATTCAGGATGTTTATTAGGGAACTCTTTTTGGGCCAGCACCTATGAGAGGGAGGAAGCAGGATTGGGCAGAGGGAGAAGTCAGCTGTGGCGTAGACCCACAGCCTGAGCGGACATTCACTTTCATGTTTAGTGTTTGTCCTGTCACAGGAACGAAGGTGTTGGCAACTGTTTGTGAGCTTTGGCCCTCTGCACTGCTGGATCATGTTCCAGGTGTGCAGGACCTTGTTAGATGTTGAGCTTCCATGAGTGAGGACCCTATATCAGGCACCTGCTCTAAGCTAGGCAGTACTCCACTTGCATTTTCTCAAAAGCTCTGACAGTCAGTCATTCTGTGAAGTATCTTGTATAGATAAGGAAACTGGACTCAGAGGGACTAAGTAATTTGGTATGTGGTACATCTGGAATTCACTCTGGTAATATCTCACCCACAAAACTACAGAGCACCTGCGTAAAAACAAGTAACCACTGCCATGCTGGCTCTCCAAGTCTGTGTTCTGTTCTTCATTTATAGCAATGAAGGCCTACAATGCTGACCCTAAAGTCAGGGGTGATAGTAAATGATGACATTTGCTAATTTCTACTCTGACCATGAAATAAAGATTAATAACTGGCTGGAAGTGAAAATGCACTTATGGTATACAGTTGTTGCTGGTGTTCCAACTCATAGTGACCCTGCATAGGATTTCCAAGGAGTGGCTGGTGGATTTGAACAGCCAGCCTTGCAGTTTGCAGTCCAGTGCTGATCCTACAGCACCATACCAGGACTCCACTATATACAATTAGAGGTGGTTTTTAAGTTCAAACAGGTGCAAAAGAGGCCTCATTGAAAGAGAGTTTATTTAAGGAGGCAGTATTACACCCGGTCTTAGAGCAGCATTTCTTGAAAATGAAAATATTCCAGGTTTAAAAAATTACACTAAAATAGAGCCATGAATGAAAGAATCAGAAAATATGTTAATAAACTTTTTGTATTTCATGGTTATTGTTTAACACTTAAAGAATCGTCTTAATGCAAATACCTGCAGATCATCTGTGGTGGAACATTATAACCATGTGTCTGTTAGCTCTCGGCTGTCCTTCCCTTTTGAAATGGTCCTGAAACACAGCATGACAGCATCAAATCTAGAGTTTAAGGGACTACTGTATTCTTCACATATAACATGCCCATGTAAATAGTGTGCCAACACATAGGAACTCACACGTGGGGGGCACTTTGCAGTTTGAAAGAGAGGGGGGATAAAAAACCACAAGTAAAATGTGCATGTTATTTGCATAAAAATATGGTAGGTGGGAAGGTACACAGCAGTACCTGTCAGTCATTTTGTGTGAGGCAGTGGTAGTAGGTACTTTACATCGCTATCTGTGCTTATTACAAAATCTGCTCAAAATATGTAATGTTATCCTCATTAAAAATGAGAAAGCACAAATTAACCAAGCTCTTAACCCAATCCGCGAGAGAAAGATGAGGCTTTCTACTCCCGTAAAGATTTACACCCTCGGAAACCCTGTACAGGGTCGCTATGGGTTGGAACCGACTCGACGGCACATAACAACAACAACAAACCCAATCCACTCTCTATTTTTTTCCCAATTTTTATTGTGTATTGAGTGAAGGTTTACAGAGCAGATCAACAGTTTTACATTCAACAAATCATATACTTTGCTTCATTAAATGGTTGCAATTCCCTCCATGTACCAACAGTTAACAGCACTTATCTCTATTCACTTTAACTATTGCATTACTCCATGTGTCTCCAACTACTTTCATCTTCATCTTTCCTCTGCTAACCTCTCTCTTGTTATGTATTGCCTGCCTGTCACCCAGGTTAACATTTTAAAGAACCCATGAATAATTTTCCTTTCCCACTCCCTCTCTAACCATCATAGATTGTTTCTTTTATCAAGAACCCTTTTACCTTTTTACAGCATTGGTCTCACAGTGTTTATCCTTTTGTGATTGACTTACTTTACTCAGTATAAGTCTTTCAGGTTCAAC